TGCTGTGACCCTGAGATTCCAGTGTATTAATCAATTCCTTTGAAAATAAAATTTGTGTGGTTTTTTCCATAAAGTATATTTCTCATGGCCTCTAAAAAACCCTTCATAGGCATGGATTTAAAATTTTGGGGGCCAGACCTTTTCATGAACTTTTGGAAGAGATAAAAATTAATATATAATTAATACAAAATTTGATTAAAAACAATGATGAACAATATCAGTTTTCAAAGAGAAACATTACTCTTGATTTCACAGATTTTAAACAAGAATTATTAATATACTTATGACAATAAATTTCATCTAGAGGAAATTAACCAATCCCATAACACAAAAAAATCCAGAAGTGAACTCTTCCATCTGCTGGTTTATGCCACAAAGGGCTACAACAACTGTGCTAGGTCAGGTTGAAACCAAGAGCCTGGAATTCAAACTGGGTCTCCCAAGAGAGTGTCAGTGACCCAAGTACTTGGGTCATCATCATCTTCTGCGTCTTAGAGCAGAGTTGGGCTCAACCCAGGCACTCTGATAAGGGAAACAGGCATCCTAACTGGCACTGTTACTGCTAGGTCACCGTCTTTGCTGCCTGTCAGGGTGTACATTAGTGGGAGGCTATAACTGAAATTGGAGCCAAGACCTGAACCCAAGTAGCTGGATATGGGACACAGCTGTCTCAAGCAGTGCCTTAACTGCTATGCCAAACATCCAGCTCCATCCTTTTGTAGGCATGTTTTGTCACAGGATACGGAGAACATCAAGTATGAGAGATGTAAGTTGGGCCTATTAAGATTTAAATCACCTTTCTTCAAATGGGGCTGTTAAGAAAATAAAAAGGCGGCTGGCACCTTGGCTCACTTGGTTAATCCTCCACCTGTGGCACCAGTACTCCAGGTTCTAGTCCCAGTTGGGGTGCCAGATTCTGTCCCAGTTGCTCCTCTTCCAGTCCACTGTGGCCTGGGAGGGCAGTGGAAGATGGTCCAAGTGCTTGCGCCCTGCACCCGCATAGGAGACCAGGAGGAAGCACCTGGCTCCTGGCTTTGGATCAGCGCAGCTCCGGTTGTAGCGGCCATTTGGGGAGTGAACCAATGGAAGGAAGACCTTTCTCTCTGTCTCTCTCTCTCTCACTGTCTCACTCTATTTGTCAAAAAAAAAAAAAAAAAAAAAAGGCAAAGCACAAACTTGGACACATTATCTACAATATCTGTATCTGGAAACAATACCTTAATTATAACTTGAGGAGAATAAAATAGTTTCAAGTAAAGTATGTATTATAGTGCCTAAATGAAGTGGTCAAAAGCTAACAGAGAATCATTCTCATGGGACAGGTGGTAACATTCAGAATAACACCAGGAAGACAGTTAATTCTGTGATTATGATTTTCTGAAATAGAAATCAGTCGCTGTAATGCTTTTTTTTTTAAAGATTTATTTATTTGAAGGTCAGAGTTACACAGAGAGAAAGAGGTCTTCCATCTGCTGGTTCACTCCCCAATTGGCCGCAATAACTGGAGCTGTGCCAATCCGAAGCCAGGAGCTTCTGGGTTTCCTATGAGGGAGCAGGGGCCCAAGAACTTTGGTCATCTTCTACTGCTTTCCTAGGCCATAGTAGAGAGCTGGATCAGAAGTGGAGCAGCCAGGACTCAAACCAGCGCCCATATGGGATACCAGCATTTCAGGTGGCGGCTTTACCTGCTACACCACTGCGCTGGTGCATTGTAGTGCTTTTAAAACAAGGGACTCCTTTTTTTGTTTTTGTTTGTTTCCATGGTAGTTAAATTTCTGGATAGTCAAGATAAAATAAATTATGCAAAATATACTTTGTGTTTTTGTGAAAACAGCTTTGTTCTTGGCTTGGGTTATTAACATTTTTTACCTGCAAGAAAGCCCTATACAATAAATTGAGAAGTTGAGCAGCTTTGGCTCAGCATTGTGGTACAGTGGATATCGCAGGTGCTTGTGACTCCCAGTCCCATACTGGAGCACTGGAGTTCCAGTCGTAGCTGCTGTTCTCTGAATCCAGCACCCTCCTAATGAACCTGAGAAAGCAGAAGAAAATGGCCCAAGTACTTGTACCCCTGCAACCATGTTGGAGACCAGCATAGAGTGAACCCTGGCCATTGCAGACATTTGGGGAGTGAACAAGTGGATGGAAGAGCTCTCTCCCTCTCTGTCACTCTGCCTTTCATATAAATACGTAAATCTTTAAAAAGTTTAAGGAGATCTAATACTTGATGTGAGACAATCCAACTCATCAAATACCCCAACTAGTAAACACTGCTATGGTTCCTTTATCATATGAAAAAAAAAAATTCCCCTACAATTTTGTAAAATGTTCCCTGGGGGCACTGCCCTCTCTGAAAGAAACCACCATTCTATTAATGCAGGGAAGAAAACAGAAAATAAAGATTTTCTGGCTTGAGGAATATCTGAATGGCAAATTCTCTGTTCCATTTGCTCTGCTTCCTACAGATGAAAGGATAAACAAAGGTCTACCTGTTTCCGTGTTTTAAAATATTGACTTATTTTAGAAATAAGAGATGTACCATTAGCAAAATGATGGAGACCACCTTTCCTGAATGTTATGCCTGGCACATATAAAGAAGCTAGCAGCTGCTTCCTTGGTTGGTAGCCAGTAAAAGCTGACAAACTGAATACATTCAGCCTTGAGAGTGAAGGAAATATATTTTGAGGGGAGCCAGGTCAAAATCTTGGCACTGCTGTGCAGTGGTGCAGTTGGCACAACCTTTCAGCACAGCCACTTGAGTCCCACCCGTTGCTTTAAGTGAACGGCACCTGAGCTCTGCTCCATCTCCTAGTTTGAAAAGTACCCCTGGAGTGTCTGGGACTCAAGTGCACAGAGTCCTTGCTTTCCAGAGCAGCTGCCTCTTGAGAAGATCTGGGATCAGGGTCCCTTTTGTCTCTGTGGTTTGGTCATCAACATAAATCTCACATTTGCCATTTCATGTTTATTTGGCCAGCTAAAAGTCTGAGGGCCTTTCCGTTAGGCTTACAGTAGCGTTCATGATTTTGATACAAAGCACTAAGGCTCCAATCTCAACGCAATGCAGCCTGTGTTTTGAGAGAAAAGGCAAAGCAGACAACTCCAGAAATTCACTGTATGTTATTCTAACTTCAGCCACCATTTTGAAAATAAGACTTGTGGTTGGAACCTTCATCAGCAGACCCTGTAATAAGAAAGGTGACTTGTTCTGAGGTTGTGTTCTTGGAGTTTTGCAGATATTAAGTCTCAGTACTATATGTCCGACAGAGCTGAGCTAGCAATAGAACAGTTCCAAATGGTGGTGAAAACTCCTTTTTATTTCATTCCATCTGGAACCACATGCAGAAGAGTTGATTTGAAAATTCCATTCATGTGGCTTTTACTAACAAGAGCACCTTCATTCCCCTTGTACATTGAAAACCTATTCACAGTGGCGTTAAAAGTCAGGGCAAGAGGGGTCCAGTTGGTATCACTTAGTGTACCATGTAAATAGATGCATAAATTTTCTCTGCAGTCTACCACAATGCCTAAACCAAACTCCCTCTTTTTGAAAAAATGTCAGAATTATAAGCAGGGAAGGTCTTTTGAGATCCTGATAGAAACAGAACCCAAAGTATGAGTCTCCAGATCCTACACTTCTTTTTTTCTGGCACCTACGTCCTGAGCTCCTGTTTAAATGTGCTTTTCATGCTCAATGTCCATTCTACTTTGCCCAGGAATCAGTTAACATTCTTATTAAACACTGACTTCCAGAGCTAAACATACTTCTTCCCAGTGTTTTCTGGTCAGCTGTTGATAAAATGGGATTTTCACGATTCTCTTTTTCTTTGGTTGACCAGTATTCATTCCTTTTAGTTTGTGTGGCAATTATTTGCTTAAAGAGGGCCTTGTAATTCAACAGAAAAATGTTAAAGCTAATTCAACTTTGAAGGGACATCTACCACAAATTTCTGCCATTTTTTGCCTATGAGTCCCCTACCAGATACGCGAAGAGGGGTTGCTAGGGAGAAGCGGGGGATGACTTTCTTTATGGTACAGAAGACTAATTTCAGCCTTCAGATCTTTAGCAGACAGCCATTGTCAACCAAGGCTGTGAGAGGTTAAAAATACTGTCAGAATGTGACCAAATATCAGAATAAAAATGTACCCATCATTTATGTCTTATTAGGTAACCTCATCCTTATGAGATGGCTATCATTGTATACCCCACAGGAGACCACTTTTGCTAATGGTATCATTCAATAAAGTTGGGTTAGCAAATGGATCTTTGCTTCTGTCATGCTGCGAAGAACTGTGACCAGATTAGAACATCCTAAAAACTTAAATATAGGCAATTTCTGTAAATCTTGGTTTGCTGTAGATAAAGCATACCTACATAGGAGAAAAGTTACCAAATGAAATTAGATTACTAAGTCCTAGTCTTTAACTTTGCACCAAAACTATTTCTGTCATTGTGTGGTATGTGCCAGAATGCCTCAGGATTAAGAATTGTGTATGCATGTTTTTTATTAACATTTTCTGCTCTTTTAACTATTGGAAATGAGACAGAGTGTAGCTCATCATCATCTTCAGTATGTATCCAATTATCTTAACTGATTAGTGAAGGCTTTACAGCTTTTTATTCCTCCTTTGTAATGGGTTTGTTTATATTCTGAGGCATACACATAGTTATATTTTCTTGAATACACTCATGTTCTACATGACAACGTCTTGATGAATGGGGGGCTCATACACAATGGTGGTTCTCAAAGATTAAAAGGGAGCTGAAAAATGCCTATCATCCAGTGACATTGTTGCTGTCATACTGTATTACTCATTTGTTTATGGTTATATAAACAAACCTTCACTGCTGGTTGCATAAAAATATAGCACATGCAATTATGTACAGTACATAATATTTGATAGTGATAAATGATTGTTATTGGTTCATGTATATTTGCCATACTTTTTTATTGTTTGAGAGTACTCCTACTTAGAAAAAATGCTTTGTTTTTCTTTGATAGCAGCGGCCTCATACATCTTGTGTTTTCCTTGTCTCCTGGTTGCATCCAGAAGCCATGTGGAGTGATAAACTTACACCTTCTAGGATTATGTAAGTACATTCTGTGTCTGCACAAGGGAAAAATTGCCTACCAGCACATTTCTCAAAATACATCCCTGTCGTTAAGAGATGCATGACTGTGTATATACCCTTGGAAAATATATTATTTTGCTTTGTGTTTGTTTTTAATTTACATAGATAGTATTATACTGTAAATCCAACTTTAACAGTTTAGTCAGTTTTGACAATGTTTTTAAAATCCATTAACATCATTTATATGTGCATCTGGTTTGTTGTTTCTTTGAGCTGCATAGCATTCTATGCTATACAACTGCCCCATTTAATTTTTCATTCTAGAAATAGACATTGAGCAAATCTATTTTTGCTATCATTATAAACAATGCCACTGTGAGCATTCTTGGATGCATACCTTTCTGAATTTCTGAGAGAAATTCAAGAATGTGGGATGACCTAGTCATAAAATACACAAATGTGTAACTTTCCCGAACACTGCTGTTCTACATTTCAGCCTGGCTGGATCAGCTCTTTGTAGTTCCAGTACGCAGCACACCAGTGTTCAGATCCATAGTTCCCCGACATTAGATATTAATCTAAGTTTTGTCATCCTGATGGGTATACATTGATTTTTCATTGTTGTTTTAATTAGTACTTTACTAGTAATTGTAATTTGAATTGGAATATCTTACCTGGCATTGTTAGTCAGGTGGGCTTCCTCTAAATTTCTAATGTACTTCTTTTTTTTTCATTGTCAAGACTTTTTTTTTTAAATTCTAAGCATTGTTTGCTAATCATTTTTTAAGGTTGCAAATATCTGCTGCCAGTCTTTCTGTATGCTCTTATTTTAGAGTCCTTTAGGAAATCCATGATTTTATTTTACTCATCTATTTTACCCCCTTACAGTCTTTTGAAAAATTATTTCCAGTGACTTCCCTATAAACTTGGTAAAATATATATATTCTGTCACATTTTCTTTTGTACAATTATGGTCTAATCTTTAAATTTGGATATCTAATCAGTGTTCAGTTGGCATGTGATCAAAAAGTAAAATCTCAACTCCATTTTCCTCCATATGGTGAACTAGTTTTTCATAATATCAACTAAACAATGCCAACATTGATTTGTGGGATTATCTTCGTTGTATAAAATTTTCTGCATGTGCAGGGGTCTATTTCTTAAATGGTGTTTCATTAATCTAGTCTAAATCTATTTTCCGTTTTTATCAATATTGTATCTTTTTAACAATTTAAATTTCTTTTAACACATGGCTTAGCAATATGTGTTAATATTGCTAGTCTTCTTTCTTTTTCAAAGTTGACTTAGCTGTGCTTCAGTTTTGCTTCTATATACATATTACACATGCACTGTAAAATGAGTTTATTTAATCCCATAGTGTATATGTTCTATTGCTAGTGTGCTGAATTTACGTATTGATTTGAAAGAGAATTGAAGTCTATTCTGTATTAACTATCCCATGCATAAACATGAGGTATCACTCACTTTGTCTGAATTGTCTTCAATGTCCTTCAGTATTCTCTAGGACCTTTCCTCTGAAAGGCTTAAGGCATTCATTATTGGGTTTGTTCCTATGCACCTTACATGTTTATTCCTGTTATTAATAACAGCTCACTTTGAAACTGAGCACATATTGTTAAGTGAATCCGGTAAGTCACTTCTCTGAAAAGATCAGTCATGTGTTTTTGCTGAATTGTCTGTTGTCCCCCAAATCAGTCCCCCTGTCTAATGCTGGAGACTGTTCTTCCCCGAATCTCCTTTTAACGAGAGAGATACATAGGAGATGGGGAGATGGAAGTAAAGCAGGGATTACTCTCTGTAGGTCATGGTAGACAAACAGGGTTGGGGGCACTCAGGCATTTGACCTTTCCACACACTCCTTCATTACATTCTAACCTTGGTAAACAGATACATGGGCGATTTAAGCTTTTCTGGCTTTTCATCTGTGCTAGTGCTTCAGTTCCTTCTTTTAAGACCTCCACTCCCTTAGCAACACTCGGATTTATCTGAGTTTCATTTCCTACATCAAACCCCCTCTTTTGTACATGACAGTGACTGGTTTCCTGACCACCTGGTTCACATACACAAAAAGCTTCTTAACTTCTCTGATAATTAGGAACACAACATTTGCAGTAACTGAATTGCCAACATGTTGGCCAAAGTATGAAAACAGACTCTTATCTGATGCTTACAAGAAATAAAAAAGTAATCCCTCTAGGGAGCAGTTTGTCCAAAATCCAGGAGAGATGATGTTGCATGTCCCTTTCCTGGCAGCACTTCCCTGAGGTGCATACCTGAGTGAAACTCTGGCACAACTGACCAGGAGACCCCTGTAATAATACACATGGGAGTATTTGGGAAATATCAATAAATTGGAAACAACCTATATGTAATCTAGGGGAAAATAAATACATATATTGTGCTGTATTTGTACCATACACCATTGCTATGTGGTGAAAATGGATTAGAGCCAGGTTGTCTAATGTAGCTGTGGCTCACATGTATAAGAAAGAGTGAAGAAAGGAAATTGTAGGGACTTGTGTCCAGTACAATTTATATAAAATCCCCAAATGTTCCAAAATAGTAAGCATTATTTAGGAATGCATAGTCATGTAGTGCAGTGTGGAGACATTCATGGAAAAGTTAAATACCTAATTTGCTGTGAAAGTTACCAGCAGTGAGGGAGAAGGACTTGATTTCAGTTGTGGGAGTACACATGGGCTTTAAAAGTACCAACCACATTTTATTGCTTAAGTAGGTGGTAGATAATGGATACTTTATTATTTAAAATAATTTTGTATGTCTAAGCCTTTCATGATCAAAAACTCCTCAGTTTAATAAAAAGAAACCCGTTTCTGGAACTAGACTCATAGTGCTCTTTGCAGCCTGCCTGAGGGGACATTTTTAGGTGCATTTTTTTTTTTTTCCATACCAGGGGAAAGCTGCTTAGGGATGAATTAATTTCTTTTTCTCCACAAGCTCGTGGATTCCTCCATTGCATGAATCAGACCTTATTTATCTTTATATCTCCTTAACTCATGCTAATGCTGACTACACAAAACAGTATTTTAAGAATGGATGAATTAATGAATCTGGTGGACTTGATGGTAGAAACTCTGGGTGCGAGACCTCAGATATCTGGGCACTTGTTTTGATAAGTAAGTATTGGCATCACTCCTGTGTTTGTTCTCTCTCTAAAATATTCTCACCTCTCCTCAAGGGCAAATTTGGCCTGTTGCTCTTGAATGATTATCGTGATGTTTTTCCTGTGTTCCATGGAACACCATTGTTCCAGTGAAGTATTAATGGTTGTACTTGGAAAGGTTTCATGGTCAAATAAGTTTGGAAAACAGAATTTAAAAAGTGAAGAAGATCTACAGAATACCTACAGCTAACATTATATTTAATGCTAAGAAACTGGATGCTTCCAGCCTAGAAATGGGAACAACACATGCCTCACCATTCTTATTTAACATTTTGCTCAAAGTGTTCGCTAGTACTAAGATAATGAAAGAAAATGAGAATACATAGACTAGGAAGGAAGTAAAGTAAGAATTTTACTGGGAAATAAAATTCTGTGTGATTACAAATTGCATGATTGCTTATGCAGAGAACTCAACCAACAAAAATCTGGAAAATGTGAATAAGAGTAATGAGGTCCCAGGTGATAAGGTTAATATGCAGAAGTCAATTGCTTTCTTAAATACTAGTGATGAGCAGTTGGGAGGGAAAATGTTAAATATTATTTACAATAAAAGAACAAAAGAAACAGGTATAAATCAAACAAAATATGTGCAAGGTAAATATTCAGAAAATTATTACTGATGAAGTTTAAAACATTAATGTTTTAAATTAATTAGCTAGATTCTATGATACCATGGCTGGCACTGTGGTACAGCAGATTAAGCTACCATCTGCAGCACTGGCATCCCATATGGACCCAAGTTCTATTCCTGGCTGCTACAATTACTATCCAGCTCCTTGCTAATGCACTTGGGAAGGCAGAGGAAGATGGCCCAAATACTTAGGACCTTGCACCCATGTGGAGATCTGGATGGGGTTCCTGGCTCTGGCTTCAGCCTGGTCCATCCCTGGCCACTGCAGCCATCTGGGGAGTGAACCAATAGATGAAAGATTCTCTCTCTCTCTCTTTCTGACTTTCAAAGAAATAAATAAATCTTAAAAAAAAGACAGCACTAGGATATCAATATTTCCCAACTTGACCTACAAATTTACTTCAATTGCAGTCAAAATCCCAGCAAGGATTTTATAAGTATTGTCAAATTGATTCAAAAGTTTATATAAAGGGGCCAGCACTGTAGTGTAGTGGGTAAAAGCTGCCACCTGCAGTGCTGGCATCCCATATGGGCACGGGTTTGAGTCCCAAATGCTCCACTTCCCATCCAGCTCTCTGCTATAGTCTGGCAAAGCAGCACAAGGATTGCCCAAGTCCTTGGGCCCTTGTACCTATGTGGGAGACCTGGAAGAAGTTCCTGGCTCTTGGCTTCAGATTGGTACAGCTCCAGCTGTTATGGCCATCTTGGGAGTGAGCCAGCGGATAGAAAACCTCTCCCTCCCTCCCTCCCTCCCTCCCTCCCTCCCTCCCTCCCTCTCTCTCTCTCTGCCTCTGTGTAACTCTGCCTTCAAATAAATAAATATTTAAAAAAATTTTATATAGAAAGGGAAAATGATCCAGAATATTAACACAGTAATGAAGAAGAAAAATAAATTTAGAGGACTAATATTACCTGATTTCAAAACTTACTCCCAAGCTACAGTAATCATGATAGTGTGGTATTAACAAAAGGATAAGCACATGAATCAATAGTATAGAAACAGATCCACAAATTATATTGAACTGATATTAGACAAAGAAACAAAGGCATTTCTGCAGAGAAAGGATGGGCTTTTCATCAAGTGGCATTGGAGCAACTGGTAATCGACCTGCAAAAAAGCTGAATTTGAACATAAGCCTTGAGCCTTGAAAAAATTGTTATCAAATACCTAAAATTAATTGC